GGGATCTCGAAGGATCTTGCCGTCCTCGTCCTTGATGTTCTGAGAGGTGAACAACCCCTTACCTTCGACGTCGATCATCTTCAGGTGCCTGTAGAAACCCGCCTGATCCCCCTCGCGGCTCTTCTTCTCGAGCTGCCGTACATAGCCCTCGAAGAACGTTTCCAGTGCTCTCCACCTCGCGATGCTGCGCTTCTTCCGCGCCGCCTTGAGCATCGCCTTCAGGGTCGCCTCGCAGGCGCTGTTCTTTGAGGCCCCGCGCAGTTGCTGCTGGGCCGCCTTAATCTCCTTCGACGCTTCAGAGATCTCGTGCTGCGCTTCGCTCGTGTACCAGCCTCTCTGCCCTCGTGCGCACCTCGCCAGCGGCGCGGTCTCAGCAGCGGCCGACATCACCGTAGCCGTCAGCTCGGCGGCGGTCTCTCCCGTTGGTCGCCTGAGCGCCGTGGGCGGAGGGCGGCTGGAGGCCCTGTTTTGGAAGGCGACCCGTACGTGTTTGTCCTTCCTTAACCGCTCGAGGTCGATACGGATCCGGCTGCTTCCGCTGTTCCCCCGCACTCGTCGGTTGGGTGCGACACGGGGGGGGAGGCGGACAGTCGTAAGCACGAGGTTGTGGTCAGAGTCCTTGAAATCGACGCGTTTGACGAAGACATTACGCACGAAACGCCGGTCCGTCTGACGCACGAGGATGATGTCGAGGCGTGACTTCTCCTTCCCCGTGTTGGAGCTCTGGAATGTGTGCTGCACTCCAGCTTTCGGTGCCCGCAAGTAGGTGTTGGTCAGGGAGAGTTGGTTGTCGTCCAAGGAGTCGTTCCCCGTTGTTGTTCATCCTGTCGCGTCCGTATGCGCCCAAAATCTTGGCATCGCAGCACCCGTCTCGCCTGCTACCAGTGCGAGCGTTGGCGTCCATTAGCACCACGAGATGGTCACGACTGTGAACCTCCCGGATCGCTGCGTCGAGAGCAGTCCAGAAGGAGTCCTTGGCGTTTGATACCTCCAGGCTCGTAAAAGCACAGCAGTGCCATCAAGTCATCAAGGAGTGATGATGCAAGATGTACACAACAGAAGGCAGCAGGACAAACTCATGGCTTGCGGCCAGCTGCAAGCTGCCGGCTGCCAGCTGCGATGAAGGTTTCCCAAGCTCAACAGGTCATGCACTCTTGCAGCTGACGTGTTTTGGCTTGTTTTGACTGGAAGAGTCCAAAGGACCGCAACGAGCAAGCAGAAAAATATATAAGAATCCAATTCTGTATACAGCAGTCTAGTCTAGCCTCGAGAAGATGATGTCGGTCATCGTGCGCGTGGCCGGCCTGTTCGGACTGATGGTGTCGGAGCCAAAGACGGAGATCATGTGCATGCTGCCAAAAGGGATCGAGGAACGCCCGTTCACGGTCAGCGCCGCCGGCCAGACGTACAAGCAGACAGATCGGTTTGTGTACCTCGAACGTACCATCTCCGCGGACGGGAAGGCCGACCGGGAGATCACGAGCCGCAGCTGCCGAGCGTGGAAGTGCTACCGCCGGAACAGTGCTTCGATGTACGACAGGCGACGGGCCAACCGCCAGCTCAAGATCCGGCTACTCCAGGCTGAAGTGGTGGAGCATCTCCTGTATGGGTGCGCCTCGTGGAGCCTAACAGCGGAGCACTACACGAAGCTCAATGGGACCCACCGCCAGTTCCTTACACGGTGCATCGGCTGGAGCAAGCGGAAACGCTCAGACCGCCCCCTGTCCTATGCCCAGGCCCTCATCCAGGCAGGCTGCGAGGAAACCATCGAGGCCACCGTGCGCAAACGGAGACTGTGTTTCGCGGGCTTTGTTATGCGCATGGAGGACAGCCGCCTCCCCAAGCGCATGCTGTTAGGAGCGATGGCGGGGGGCGTGGGATACCGGGGCGGGCAGGAGAGCGACTGGGTGTCTCGTCTGGGAGAGGACCTCGTGGCCTCAACATGGGAGACGAAAAGGAAGGGGGTAAATGGAAAGAGAGCGCCAAGGACCCGGAGGTGTGGTACAACAAGGTCGAGGACGGGGCGGCATGGCTCATGAGGAAATGGCATAGACGGGAGGCGGAAGCGTCCGCGAAGCGCCAGCGCGCGAGGGAAGCAGAAGCAGAGAGTACGGCCATCTCAGTACCGAAAAGAAAAAGAGTCGGGGAGGCGGCGATGGGGGGGAAGAAATCGGCGACCGGGCACTGCTGTAGAAGCGAGTAGGGTGGCCCAGGCAGCACTTGTGGCGAACTTTTTTTTTTGTTCTCCCATCATTGGATTCTGTCGTCTGCCCCTTTGGCCCCTATCCTCCACTCCTACGAGCTAGATGACCCAACCGGGGCCACACATGAGGGGGGGTTGGACCCCCTCCTGCGGTTCCTGCCTGAAATATTTTTATCGCGAGAAGAGTACAGCAATCCCTTCCCTCGCGACCTATGAAGTCGATCAAGTGTACCAACAACGCGCATTGCAGCGCATCGCTTCCAACGGAGACCAGGATTTAATTAGTTAGGAAAAACTCACTCTGTAAGGACTCGAACCCACGACCTGGCCCTTAGCAGGCTGCGAGGTTACCCACTGACCACCGGGGCGACCGGCCATGTACCCGGTTGATGTTGCTGCGCCCTGTTTCCCTCCCTGCTGTATGTTATACTCCTATATGTACGTCCTGTGTATTGCCTTCTCCGTCTGTGCTGTGTTTCTTTTTTCATGTCCTCCCTGCCTACTCTGCTGTGTTGGGTATCTTGATCTCGCTTTTGCTGTTGCTTTTGTTTTTGAACATCTGGCTGTCTGCCCATCTGCCGCCTCTTTATCCCGTTTGCTCCGTTACTCCCATGCCCTGGTGCGTAGTGCCTGGTGCTGGTACGTTACCCTTTGATTTTTTCATTTAGGCGGGTGTGGGAAGCGTCCTCCTTTTGTATTTTGTTTTTTGATCGGTTTCCGAGGGCTCTTTTCTCGAACGGCCGGTGCGGTATCTGTTCGTTTCTTTCCACCATTTTGTTTTCTTTCTCCCAAGTGGCTTGTGCCCTATACTTGTTTTGTTTCCCCGCGGCGTTGTACGTGCCGGGTTTTGAGACCATGGGTAAACGTCATCTACAACATTATCCCATTCCGTGGGTGGTTGCCCCAGGTCCTCTTGTTTGTTCACATTACCTCCCATCAAGGTATTCTCGGCAACCTCTTCTCGTCCATACTGTACAAAATGCGGTGCTTTCATTTGGTGGGGCGACCGTACTCTCACAATAACAGTAGAAGTGTCTCGTGATGAAAACCACCCAGAGAGACCTATGTCCTCTGCACAGGCAATCGTCTCAGAGATAAGAACAAGAACCTCGTTCGTCATGGGTTGATGCCTGCTCCGCATAATAACTTGGAAAATAAAAACATGTACTCGGTTGGAGGCAACCAAGAAGCGTCGAGTCCAAGCTAAATAAGCGGTTCTTAAGTGGTGGCGCGTTCTGTATATCTCAAGGCTTTTTTGGCTCGGATTCGCAGCTCCTGAAATAGAGCCAGTCTCAGCGACTTTGGAACGGCCATCACGCACACCAATGATATCTCACGAGCCCCACACATAACGGCTTATGTACCGAGAGGTGATCTGAGTACCATGCATGAGAAAGTGTGAAAGAAAACAAAAAAAGATCACCACAATAAAGTCGGATTTGTACATGGGCGTATCACCATGCAGCCGAGCGTTGTATTCTGTGGGGGGTATTATCTTGTGTAGCCCGGGCGATGAAAGTGCGGGTCGTGGGAGCCATGAAGCGGGTTGCAATATCCTGTGCTTGTAGTATGTAACATTGCCACAAACATACACAACACATGCAAGGGCCGAATGGGTGTAGTTTCTGGGGTGTGTTGTTAATAACCCTGACTGCAGAAAACTACCAACAGCTGCCGCACTTGCAGGGTGTGTGGTATTGAGCGGGGGCGATACTACTGATATCGCTCACTGCCTTCAGTGAAGTTCCTGTCAAGCGTACTTGCTGTCATGTGTGGGAATGACGGGAGGGGGGGGGCGGGGGTGACATACCCCCTGAGCCGCAGGTGAAGAAGAATTTTGTTGAAAGAAAGAGGTGATTGGCCAAGCCTGCTGCGGTGGAAACAGTAGTACGATGACTCCGCGACGCTTTCCTTGATGTTCTTCGGCGTTGCCCTCCTGCTTGCTTGCTTGCTTGCTTGCTTGCTTGTCCGTTGGTTTCGACAGGTCTGAGACTATGGAGGGCTATTTACGTTGTATGAACGTCGCGGACTTGGCGATTGAGGCGCAGGTAAACATGTGTTGCGCGTACCATTGGAAATCTTCATTTGGGTGGATTTTTTGTCGCAAACATACACACGTTTGGAATCTTGCAGCTCAAACTAGTGATTCTGGCGGAGAAAATCAACCCGGCATTGTTTAGCCAGGTGTCCATCGCCAAGCTTGTAACGATCGATGCACAACCGAGTAGCCCGTGAAATTTGCTCGACCACCGCCCGTCTGGCTCAAAAGTACTAGAACTTTGAACAGCTTTGTGCGCCTAAGGTCCAGATACCCTCTGAACTACGAGCTTTCCTTCTTCGTGTGTTGTTACGTTTGGACGGTTGTGGCAGATGAAGGCGGAGCAAGACCATGAGAGCCGCAACGTGTTTGCCATCGAGGGAACGAAACTCGTCATCCACAAACGCACCAAGATCAACCACTTCACGCAGATGTAAGTCAGGCTCGCCTCCGCTTCCGCTCAGTTTCCAATGTGGGTCTGTCTCGCCAAATACGATGTATGTGGGGTCCGGGTTTGTTGGCTAGCTGCTTTTCTGTCATGTGTTCTCGAGGAAATGGATGGCGGCGGCCTCTATTCCCTACGCGTGCCTTCAATGCCGTGGCATCCGTTCTACGCCCTCTCGCTCTGTATCTCATATCCCCCTTTCTGCTACCGTGCTTTGGTACCACTTGCACAGCCGCTGCTGCTGCAGCACGTGCTGCTTCTGGAATGCTCCTCTGTGAGCGGCCAGACCGCGCCCCCAAACCCCTCACTTTCCTTCCCCCCCCCCCCCCCCC